TTGGAAAAGCATTTAGTAAGAGTTTTTTAGACTCAATAAATTGAAAGAAAAGTGATGTCTGACATACTCTTAGAAAGCTCATCCTCTAATTATCTTATATTTACATACTCAAATAATTTAAGTTTATTTCAGCAATTTAAACTGAACATTAACATTTATTTAATATTATTTGTCATTTATTTTTACGTTAAAAATCCTTTGAAACAGACAAAAACAAAACCAAGTATTATAACCGGTTAAGAATCTGTAAAATATATCGTGTAACACAAAAACGAATTGAGTTAAAAATTTCCCTTTTTTATGCGCTGGTTAAAAATAAAATTCATTAACATACATTATAAGGCACTATTTACCACCAACTGTATACCAAGTATATACTTTACTGCGTATTATTATCAAATGATGTTAATTAAAGATTAAGAGTCAACAAATATATAAATCATACTAATTAAACATGAGTATTTCGTACCTCTTATTATTGCTAGATCAAAAAACATAATAAGTGAGTCAAGCGTGAAGTTCTTACTAAATAACATTGTAATGACATTGGATTATGTGGGCTTAGATTTGATTTTGTATATATATTTAGTGAATAACAAAATACTACATTTCGTCCGCGGTTCCGCTCGTGATACATTGATAAATACTTATTATAATTAATATAACTATATAACAAGGTAATAGCATCTCATTAGTTGAAGAGGTTTTTCCTGTGCAAAGAAACTAATTTTCACTCTTTACTTTGGATAAAATTACAATTTTATCTAGTCGGCAACTGAGTGGTTGAATTTATAGGTTCCATTCAAAACAATTTCTTATCATAAGCTATAGGTACTAATATTATAAACAGGTAAAATTTGTAAGTTTGTGAGGTTCTAGGTGGTAATCTCTGGATCTACTGAACCGATTTAATTAAAATTTGGTAAGAAGATAGTTTGTCACTATAGGAAGGACATAGGATACTTTTTATTCCGGAAATCATCCCTTAAGGGGGTGAAAATGGGGAAGAAAGTTTGTATTTGGACTCAAGCTAGGGACGAACCCGAGCGAAGCGAAGGTGAGTCGCTAGTATGAGGTATAAAGAGGATAAGCTAAAGAAAATCAATTTCAGACCATATAGATGTTACTGATTATAACCAATTGGGATTAATGTATTGTCTTTATCTATACCAATATTATAGTGGCAGAGTTTTTTGCTTGAACGGGCTTATCTCAGGAACCAGTAATTTGATTTGAAAAAATCTTTTTGCATTAGACATCCCGTTTATTGAGGAAGGCTATAGGCTTATACATCATATAATATATAGTATATTTATTCCATACTAACGGTTAAAATATACCTAGTATTGAACCCGAGCGAAGGGAGGGTGAGTCCCTATTGGTTATAAGATAAGAATGTATTGACGTGTCATATTTTTAGTTTATTAGCTGAAGCAAAACTTACAGTTAAACTCATGCACGCTATGTGAAACTCAAGGTCGAAGCAATATTTGATCAAATAACAAGTATTGATATGCACTGAAGATATAATGTGTCAAGGCAAGCAGTGTACACACGATTCTTACCCTTATCACCACACAATAAAGTTTTTATTATCCACAAACAAACTATTACAGTAAAAAATTTTCTGATTATAATCATTGTTATAATAACTATTTGAAAACCAGTTGTACTTACTGTAGAGGGAAAATGAACGAATTGACAACATGCTTTTGGCATTTTTAGCCGTAATCCAATTATTTACATAAACAACACTTATATTGTATATATATACGTTTTCACGTTTAGTCTCAGATCAAGTAAAAAAACCTAGATAACGCATATAGGACAGAAAGTGTAACCATTTTTTAAGTATGTGTGCGTGACTGATGTGTTGATAGTTTTAAAAAAATCTTCCTTGATATTCTGTAATATAGGTAATATGCGAATAAAATAAAAAAAAATTGATGTAAATAAAAATAAGAATAAAATAAAAATGTTTTTATTTACAATAACATTGTAAATATGTATTCGTTAGCAATCTACCACAAATATAATATTTGATAGTAAAAAATAGAAGGTAAGTACTCGAAAATGTGAATATAATTATTTAATAATAATTTAAATTTAATAATAATTTAAATGTCTACTTAATTATTTAGCTATGAATTTACGTACAATTTACCCCACATTTTTGAACCAGTAGAAATACGAACTCCTGTCAACACTCTCCCGTGCGTCATTTCGGGACATTGCCATTATTTATGTCAAACAACCTCAAAATTGTGTTAGAATAACAGAAAAAAATACAGTATTGTGTGTAGTTACATGTGAAACGATATTCCATCAGAATATTTGTTCACTTTTGAATTGTTTTTACACCATTTAATTGCACAAGACGGCATCTTTTAGGCAAACTTACCTACTGCACGACGACCGTAAGGTACTAACGAAAATGAGCATAGTTTGGTGCATATGTGTGCTGTGTTTACATGAAGGACCAGACTTTTGTGGCTTCAGTAATAATGAAGGCGGTGCGTTATCTACCTTTTTTTACTTGATCTGAGCGTTTAGTATAAATTTCTAAGAGATGAGATATTTTCCCTCAGTAAATGTATCCTATATGTTGACCCCGATGACCAGCTATCATCATACCAAATTTCATCAAAATCTGTCCAGTGGTTTTCTCATGATGCGGTAACAGACAAACAGACAGACAAAAATTCTAAATACTATAGATTTGGCCTCTGTATCGATAATAATAACTATTTCAATAAGATTTTCCATAAAATGTTTTATGTACAGATTGGACTCTTACTGACTGGACTGGAGAATTTTACTATACGTATAGACTAGCGACTTACACTCGCTTCGCTCTGGTGCGTCCCTCTGTACCTACTCGGATTTTGTTTACAATTTCATGGGTTTTAATTGTTTTGCGCGGGACCTTGATTCTTTATCCTATGTTGCGCTTTATAACATCAGCTATCTGCCAGTGAAAGTCCCGTCAAAATCGGTAATAATTAAGGCTTAATGATTTCCTATAGATTAAAAAACAATAATAGTAAGTACATAATATATGGGTTTGTACATTATACTCTAAAAGAAAAATAAAGGAACCAGAAGTATCAAGATATTTTTTTTTAATTTATTTAAACTGAATTCAAACATTAATTGATAAATAATGAGTATTTTCAAAAACAATACTAATAGTGTATAACAGACGGCCTCCATTGATTTGCATGGAAGGAAGCTTTGGATTTCCGTTCCGAGATACGCATCTTCATGGTCGAGCGAGGGTATATCGAAGGTCAGCTCGATCTACCAACAACTGAACTGTTGCATTTATTATTTGTGAACCTTGATTTTAAATGCATAAAAACCATTTAAGAATACTTAATTATACCAACTTGTTCTGGAAATTGTGACAGATTTATTATTATTATTAGTTTAGGTTTGTTGTAATGAAACATAGGTTGTATTGATTTTTAAGCTGTTTTACAAAAGTCACTAATTGACGGACCGATATACATATATTTACACTTTATTAAAAAACATAGATAGGTACATACAGATAACATGGAACCTCCTCTATTTTGGAAGTCGGTTATAAAAGTACACTAACTTCAAAATCTATTTAAAAATAATTAATCCATCCCTGGGGTGTATTTCTTTTTAAATATGTGGAAATCCTCATTTGGCAAAGATATCGCGAACACAAAAACATACAGCCGAAACGAAAAGGAGATGTAGGAGGCTCATTTTTGAATTAGGTTAAAAATACTCGTAGCTTTCTCCTTTACGCTTTAAAGATGCAGGTGTCAATTACGTATTTATAACTAAAGTAAGAATGCTAAAAATAAAATGGAGTATAGAAATCTCATATAAAATGATATCGAGACAGGATTTGCCACTTATATCATAGTTAGAATAGGATGTATCTAACATCTTCACGGTCGAGTGAGGACGACACCTGCGCAATTGATATCTTCCGAAGGTCGGCAAATAGCACGTCACAGACGGCCAGTAGCGATAAATTTACACTGTTATAGCGTACAATTTAAACTATAGTATTAGTACTTGACCGAATTCAAAAAAGGAGATCCTCATACATGTATTTTTTTATAAATTGGGCAATATATAACAACGTACACACATACGTACATGTATTTCTATGTATGTCAATTTTGAACCTATTTTGATGATTTTTTTCATGTTTAATTCTTCAAAGGTTAAAGGTATACTAGCAATATCTTCTTTGAAATCTAGCTTTAAACGGTCATGATCTGTCATTCATAATAATATATTTTACAGCGATAATATTAAAGTTCCTCCAACAGCCCAAAATTACTTGTAAACCTAAAAACAGATAACAGGTATCAATGTGTATGCTCTAGATAAGTGATAATACCCACGATACGGCTTATTTTTCTACCAATCACAAACCTCGGATTCAACAAACACATCCTTCATGTCTAATTAATCAAACAATTGTTATTCAAACTAATAGCCTTTATCTTTGTTTTTAGTTGACGCAGTGGAGAAATAATTATTCATTTTTATAATATAATTACTTACTGGCTTAATGATTTTATTGCGTCGAATCATTTATAAAGTACATAATAAAATCACGACGTCAATATTTTTTAATAGTTTAACAGATAACATATGATCATTTAACAAAAAGATTAAACGTCAAACATTGATATACAAAAACCTAAGATACACAATTAGCGTCTCAAAAGTGTTATCAAAAAGATGCATAATATAATTCAAAATTATCCGCTTTTATCAAATTTGTTTTGCTCATTGCTTTTCGAAGGCAAAATAAAAACGCTCGTTGTTTCGTTTAAAAGTACTTGTGTGGTGTGCGTAAGCTCGAATTTGGGTTTAGATAGTTAATTTTATTCTTTGGTTTGACTTAACATGACATATCGATGCCACTTTTTGAAGATATATTTGTTAGGAAATATGTATCTGTTTTTATATATCAATAACGTCGAACGTTTTTTTCATTTCAGATTTCTCAATTAGTGGAAGACGTGCGAAGGCTTCAAGCGTCGCTTTCAGCGCTGCAGGAGGCGCACGCGCAACAGCTACAGCGACTGGAAGAGCGACTTGATGAAAAGAAACAACATATCGCTAGGCTCGAAGCGAGGCTCGACACCCAGCGAGATTATGATGAGATCAAGCGAGAGATCAGGTGAGTATGGTGGTTGTACCATTCAGAGCTGCATTGTTAAAAATATTGACACCTGCATAGAAAAACATTGTAACTCGAGCTTAGATAATTTAGAAATAATAAAATGCAAAATTTCTATAATACTGAGTTACAATATTGTTCATAGCAAATTTCAATATTGGCAATGAAGCGCTGTAAAAGCTCCAAGAATCAAATTAGAGGATTTCAACTTAGTATACCTATAGTCTCTTTGATAATTGTATATTTTGTATATAATAATATCGTTCATACAAAAAAAAATAATTAAGCACAAAAAAAACTATGTACACGTATTAGTTACGTAAAAGCTGGTTTTATACAAAAAAAAATTACATATGCAAAGCATGGATCCCCTTAAAACAATCATTTAATAACTTCACACTTGTACGAGCCAAGTATTTTTCTTAGACCTGTTATGCCATTAGCCACATTCTAAGCATCATTAGCAATCGCACTACTTGTGAATGCACGACGTACCTTCTCCTTTGTAGTCGCTGTCGCCTTGGAATCAGGATGCATTATCGTAGATGATATCATTATAGATATTGATTAACATTGTCGTATTGCTTTAATCAATGAATAGAAATACTACGAAGGAGTTATCCTTACTTAGGAATTAATGGTAGACTGTTTGTCTGTCTGTCACGAAACAACGAATTGACACGGTTTTTTATCATATGGCTCTCGACAAATATAAGAATACCAAGAACGTTTTAACGGTTAATATAGCTTTCTCAGAGATAGATATTTTTCCGCAGTATAAAGTAATATGTTGGACCCGGATAACCAGCTATCATCGTAGCAAATTTCATCAAAATCTATCCAGTGGTTTTCTTGTGATGCATTCCCAGATAGACAGACAAAAAAATCTAAAAACTATAGATTCGGCCTCTGTATCGATAATAATGACTACTTCAATAAGATTTTCCGAAAAATATTTAATATACAGTTAGAATTTTATTATATGTATAGAAGATAGGTTGTAAGAAGACAGTAGACTTGTCGGTGACAAAGATTTGTGAAAGCCCAATAGAATTTAGCAGAAAAATTGTATTAAATAAAAAAGACATAGATACATCAATATTCTTTTATTAAAAATAATATATGTTATTGATTTTTATCTCAATTATTCCTCTATAAATAAGATTTTTTTAAATAAAGTTAGTGAATGTTTCGCACAATCATAAGAGTTTAACGCAATACTTCATCTATGCTGAAGTCATTTACATATTTTGAATCCGTAAAATCTATTTGACTCATATTTAATGAAATTTATTTGAAATACTCTGATTTAAAATCACCTTCCTACCGGTAATAAATACAAGAAATTCCATATAAAATTAAATTTACTATTAGACTTCATGAATCTAAAAGGCTGTGTTAATAAACTTGATAAGCTATCTGCTGGGCGTTCACCCCGCGTCAGATTATAGTGTTTGCTCGTTGGGCAATCTCGGGCCTTGAGTGAGGGTACAATGTTTCATGCAAGCATCTATTATTTTACTATCCACTAGCAAAAGCTCGCGGCTTCACACGGAGTTTCTAATGTATAAAAAATCATTATAATCATAGTAAATACACTGAAATATCTCAGTAACTCGCAATATCCCAGTAAATGATACAAGAAATCAGCTATTATTTTGCCAAATTTCATCATTATTTGCTTAGAGATTTTGTAATTCACTCGATTTTTAGAGTAAAAGTGCATTTAAAAAAAAAATTAACGATAATTTTGAGCAAATATCGAATGTTAAAATTGCAACGTAATTATCGTATTGACTTCAATGTCTGAATATCATAATTATCTAAAGGCAATTACTTGCCATGAACATGGAAAGGCCTCGAAGATACGAATACGGAAAGAATTTAATATAGAGCCGTGTAAACTCTCCGTACGATCGCCTCGATAGATAGATCATATTTATTTAGTACATTTCCCAAACAGTCTATACTATTATAATAAAGAAGCACAGTTTGTTTATTTGAACGCGGTAATCTCAGGAAGTACTGATCCGATTTAAAAAAATCTTATAGCATAACAGATAGGCTATAGGTATATCATGCGGGATAGATTTGTTATATATATATATATATGAAAGTCAAAACAATTACGGCTAATAAGTATTTTGATCCATCAGAAGACGTATACATCTGCAATCTCACGGCATTGAGGCGGACCCAACAATGCTTATTTACTTCGCTTTGTCATTTTATTCCTCAGTGTGCTCTTTTGAAATACTAAATCTAAACATTTATTAATAAAAGATATTTGTATAAGACATGCATGTTTTATTAATAGTGTAGCTGTTATCAGTCAAAGGTAGGGTCAGCAAACATTGTGGTTTACTGCTTAAATAAAGACGCGCATTGTTTAGCAATCGCCATTTGTTTTACTTACTCATATTTTCTACTTCTTTCGTTCAAGAAGTAACAAAATCATTTATATATTAATTAAATATGGCGGTTTGTTGAATATTTATTTGATATTTATCTTATATTCGAGTCAAACAAAACAATTAGAACAATTAACACAGGAAGGAACGATATCTAAAATACAAGAATAATCAAATTTCCTCGATTCCACCGATAATTCTATTTATATTTCCCACTGGGGCAGGAAACTAAAAAAATATATACGTTCTCAGGGAGCGATTTGTGTACCAATAAATTGTTCAAACACGGGGGTAGGCCGCTAAATTCCTTATCTCGAATCGTTTAGCGAGTAGATGCTAGGTTGCCGAGATCTGTCGCACCATCAACTGATTTTGACGAAAAAGAGCAAAAAATGTATGTACGGGACCTCCTCCGCGGGGATACTGTCAACATAGCATGGTAGTGGTCAAATGGTATGACAAATGTTAAAAATATTTTTTTGACCATTTTCCACATTGTTTATATGTACCTATATCACCTAATGTAATGTATGCCAAGTTTTTTAATTAAATAAGTTCAGTTAGAACTCCGTTATTTTAAGTAATTTACAAGAAAAAAATTAAACATGCTTTCTCACAATCATTAAATGTTGCAATACTACCTGACACGAATTAAAAGGCCCCAAAAGCGTATAACAGAATAATAATTCGAAGGTAATTACAATATTTCTGCAAAGTAGGTACATATTTATTAAATATGTATAATGTATAATAAATAATATACATTATGGTGCAATTACGAGTTTAATGTGAATAAATTTGATTATATCAAGTTTAAATATTATCTTGATTTGATAATTAATTTAGCCTGATCCGCAACAGTGAGTCTACATGTTGCTGGATATTTGTATTATAATATTCTTTAAAATTACTACGGTGCTAGGCTCAGTGGCAGACGAACCGACATCTAGCCAAGTAACAACATGTTTGATTATTAATTTTAGCAAATCTTATAATATTAAATGAGCAATTCTTGTATATATGTATATAAAATTTCGCGTATCTGAGAAACAGCTTGGATCAAATTTTGTATTTAGATAAGGTTTTGCTTTTTAAGTTTAACTTTAGGTATAGGTGTATTTTCAAAAAAAAACAATTATTAAGTATATGTTTTCCGAAAAAACATCGAACGAAAATTACAAAAATATTACAAATATGAAAGTTTAGATGTTTGGATTTTTAGATGGATGTTTGTTACTCAATCACACCAGAACGGCTAAACGGATCTGGATGAAATTTGGCACAGAGATAGATTATCTGAAACAGTACATAGGGTTCTTTTTACCCCGGAAAAATGTACGGTTCCCGCGGGATAGATTTATTTTTGTTTTTCTAGCGAAGCGAGGGTGAGCCGCCTAGTCTTATATATGTATACAATTGTTACATGCAATTTAAGGAATCTATAAGAAGATTAAAAATCGCTATTTCGTATTTCCTACACGTAAATGGTAAGAAAAAGTCATACCTACATTTAAAAACTCAATATTTATGTCTTACATTGATAGTGGTATAAAAGTAACACGACTGCAAAGCGTTTCTACCGTAGTCACTGATATGTTTGAAAAAAATCATTTATTTTCCTTTTCTTTAGAACGCATCTAAGTTTCAAGTATCTTAACAAGGTCTTAATCATCGCAGCCACTTCCGATGTTTTTATGTCTTTACTGTTTATGTAAGAACTCGCTTCGAAGTTTGTTTCTATAGTAAGTGTTTTACTACAGACACTCCTTGTAAAAGTCTTTAAAATTTAACTTTGTTAAACATGTCGAAATAGTTATTGTTGCAAGTTTCTTGTTTTTCTAATCGTTTTTTTTTTTAATTTATTATGACATAATGAAGGTTTTTCACATTTATTTGATTAAAATTATAATGCTTCAAGGAAACAATTAATATACTTCCTATTATATTAAATAAAACCCCTCTTTTAATGTATTCATATATTTAAAATATACATAAAAGCTCCAAAATGAAAAGCTCTAAATTAAATAAGTCTTAGAATTTCAGCTAAACCGTACAACCTTTTTCGTCACCGCTAAACCTTGTTAAGAAGGAAACTGCATTTGGAAGCTTTTGAATTTCGACTCAAAAACCATTCCCGATGCATGCCTTAGTTTACATTTAATCTGTGATCTTGTGGCATATTCTCATGTTATGCCGGAAGGAATCAGTCAACATCCGTGATAAGAAAGTCATCAATTACCTCCCTACACACTATTATCCTGTACTATATTTTATGTAAACCTATCAAATAATCTATCTTTAAACAATAAAACTTTAAACAAAAATAAAAAAAGCAAATAATCTATCTTTGCAAGAGATTCCTTAAAAGATAAAAAAACTATCATTACAACAGTAACTATTTCAAAACAAGCATTAATTGTTATGAAAATACACAGCTTTAGTAGGGTTCTGGCGTATAACTCGCTAAAACACGTTTAACCAATGTTTTTCATAGTTTAATGTGTTATTTTTACCAATATGGTGACCGATGGGCGGCGCCTTTGATCCATCAAAGGATGATCATCAAACGCACCGACGTCGCGACATAAA